CGGAAGATGATGTACGATTGTCGGAATTCGAAGGATTTTCGACTCCGGACATCTGAAATCATAAAACAAGAATTACAGGTATTGAAAAACATGGTCCTCTGTACGTTTACTTTCCAACTTTTACTAATACTACTGTTACTCCGACTGTCCCCTACTTGAAACAGTATTCCTCCCTATCCGGCATCTTAAGCAGGATTCAATTGATCCCTGTGATTATTATTCTGTGGTGCCAAATCTTTACCTCTACCCTTGTGCTGTATGGACAGTGATGTTTTACTGGAGACGTGGCCCTATGACCATAGAGGTAACTCTAAGACAAGTAGGTCCCGAAGAAACGTGCTCAACTTTTTGGCTCACCTCTGGTACTATCTTCGGTCCCAAGCTTGTCGAATCACCCCTCGAAACATAGGAAAAACCAATAACCCCTCATTTTATCTGTCAAACTTTCATAGCGAATCAAAACAAACATTGCGTAGTACTAAAATTTCGACTAGAATAGGGTACGTTAATCGTTTGCTTGGGACCAATAGGCTACTAAAGTGGTGAGCCAATTTAAAATCGTTAGTTTCGTATTGATTGTTGCTATGACCCCCTTCTGTGCTTGAAAATGAAAATGAAAAATGATTACATTAGCAAAAATCACCATCTTGGTGCCCTTTGGTGGGACTTTGTGTGAGCTGTTAGCAAGTTAGATTCAGTGCACGGCTAATGAGAACGACCCAAATTTGAGTTTAGTTCACTCATAATCGCCAAAAGTGCAGGAACTCATGTTTTCCCAGGTTTTTTCCAGGATTTTCCAGGGAAAAATTCCGTATTTGAGAAAAGTAAAGATTGGAGTCACTCAGTCTATTGGTACTACTCCGAGACTGAATAAAATTTTCGTCAATTTCCTCATTTTCCGGCAGATTTTTTAGGTTTTCCACAGGAAGTCATGAGACAAATTTACTCATCGCTGAGTTCCTGCACTTTTGGCGATTATGAGTGAACTAAACTCAAATTTGGGTCGTTCTCATTCGCCGTGTGTCAACGATCAAAAATTTAAATCTTGATTTAAAAATCTAGATGAATGTCTACGGGATCAATAAAAATATCGTTGTGCTCAGAAAACGAAGCTCTATCAGATGATGTATAAAAAATGGTATATTTTTCGAAGTTAAACAACCCAATTATCTGATCAATCATGTCTCACGGCAAAAATTTCTGCTCACAACACTTTTTTGACGTTCTCCTATTCACCACCAGAGGTTGAATCAATCGCTTAGTTTCTATTAAAAAGGCGTATTCTGATGTAAACAAACGGTTAGCGGTGCCGGTGGTGTAGTGGTAAGCGTGATTACCTCTCACCCCAGCAGGCCTGGGTTCAATCCCAGTCGGCACCGCCGGGATGTTCTGAGACATAACATCTCTGATCACGCCTTCCTTCGGAAGGGAAATAAAGCCGTTGGTCCCCGGTTCATGAGTTGATGGGTCGATAGGTAGGGTCCAGGTGTGGGAGCTGCCTCCCTGGCGTCGGTAGCATTGGTGCTCAGCACGGAAAACAAATCAAGGAAAAAAAAAATAAACAAACGGTTTGGTCGACTCAAAAATTCGGCATCAACATTTCAAAAGGGTGAAACTAACAATGATGTCGAACTGTGACAAACGCTGTCAAAGTTTTGGAAACGAAAAAAATGGATTTATTTTAAATCAGTAAGCAGTGCAGATTTTGCCCTTTATATTAATCAATTTTGATAACACCCTTTGGTTTTTGTATACCTTTTGTTTGACAATCGGCAAAAGGGTGCTATTGAAAACCAAAACAAATTAGGCGCAGTCAGTTTTCCCAAATTGTATATCTTAGGTTACTTTAGTTTTCTTTAATTAAATTAAATGCAAAATTTGAATGGTTGTGAACACAAAAACAAAGAAATCATCACCATCATCTCTGAGGGAATTGTCAAAATTTTAATTTTATTTCCCAGAATGAACGCGCAAAAATTATATAAACTGAACCAGCAAGATCAAACGGAGGCCACTTGTGTACGGGTACTTTTCAGTAAGAAATTGCTTCTAAGTGGTACAACATCGGATATGCCATAGAAAGGATCAAGGAAATGATGCTGATTGCGTTGGTTTTATGTTTGATCCATCCATCAGAAATCAGCTGGTCCTGTTGTACGTCGATACCAGCAAAATGACCCAACTAGTTTTCCATTTGCGACGATTGATGGACGACGATCGTTAATTTGGAACCGCGAAGGCAACATAACCGAATCGGGTCCTGGGGTTTCCAATCTTAAGGTAATTTTAGCTGTAGGCAATCTTGTGATATTCATTTTAAAATAATGCATTTTAGCAAACCGAGGGGCGAAATTAACTTCACTATAGTAACCTACAAAAAATCAGTTACGCCATTTTGTTGATTTTAATTTAGGGTGACAAAACATGTTTCTTTTTGTAAAATTTTATGAAATTGTTCATAGTATTGGATCACTTGCTATCCATTTCTATAAAAAAACTGAGTTTGTTTCGCCCTTTTGAAATGTTGGTACTGAATTGATTGTATAATAATAGAGCCCACACTATTAAGTTGTTTGCCCATAATGACACGTGTCTATTGATTATCGAAGCCACACAAGATGAAGTCATCAAAAAGTCAGATTGAATTCAACGCATGTATCTCAATCGATAGTTTAAAATATTTTTCGAAACTGGTTCTGGGTATCCGGATGTGGCCAGATCTACCTGTTGGTCCACGGTATGATGTCTATTTAGTTCTGCATGCAAAATCATAACTTTTGAACCGTTGGATGGTACCAGTACATGAGGTTTTGGAAATGTCATTTTGTGCCCTATCGGAACAGGTGCCAGGTAAGCTAACTAGCCAAATGCAAGAAATCCTGGGCAGGGTGCCATTCTAGGAACCTTTATTTTAGGTGCCATTCTAGGAACCTATCATTTTCATCGGTTCAAAAGTTGATTTTTGGGAGCGAGTTACAGTGTGGGTCGTTTTTGAACCGCTAATGCACAATGTGTCACTTTTTTTGTAGCGCCACTCCTAGAGGTCGCTGAACACTTCTTTAACAGCAAAATGTTTGTTTCCAAATTTTAGGAACTGTCAGGAAATTTGCGGTCTCTATTATATTTCGTTAAAAAGTTACAGCTTGTTGTCAAAAAAGACCCTAATGCACTAGGAAGTTTAAAAAAAATTTAGTTTTTGAATATCGATTATGTTGAGGGCCACCCTAATGTTTAAAACCACTAAAAGAAGAAATTTTTTCAAGCACAAAAAACTTCAGACATTAAACGTCTAAATATTACAGCAAAAATGGAGATCGCTCTTTTGGGGCTTTTCATTTCTTATAGAACGCTAACGTAAAATCCAGTTGAATTTATAGTTAGGGAACATGCATAAATGACGTAGCATTTCAGAGGGGAGGAGGTCTCAGAAGTTGTGACCGGCCATGTATTAGGCATGGTAAAATACGCTATGAAAAGGAGGGGGTCTTAAATTTGTCTAAAATATGTTACGTCATTTATAGATGGATAGATTAATGCTATTAATCTCCCTATCAAAATGCAGCATTTCTGCACCTTAGAGCCACACTCTGTGTTTTCACTGCGATGCGGAAATTTTGATATGGAGATTTAAAAGTCACAAAAGAACGATTCATCACTTGTTCTTAGGATATTTGTGTGAGGGAGTGAGTGAATAGAAAAGGTTTAACTGCCTTTCAGAAATGCGCATCATTCAAGGCTAAATACATGGTATTCGCCAGAGAGCGTGGTATTATCTAAGGCTGCGGTGGCGATGATAGGAGAAATTTCATATTGACGAATAAATTCTTCTGAGAGTTGAAAAATACGATGTAGGCACCGGAAAATGTCTACCAACAGGTTGCCACTCTCTTAAAAGTTCTGTAAGAAAACAAAATGGATAACCAACAATAAAATATGACATGCATTATGATATGAATTGAACCATGCAAGAATTTGATAACATTCTAAATATAGAAATATTATTTTTATGAATGCATAACAGACACAAAAATTAAGACAATAACCTGAACGCTAATGCTACGTTAATTGCTCCTCGAGAAAGGTTGCCACATCACGCTTCTTCCGATCAAACGACGACGACGATGATATCCGATGACTATCGCATAATGTGTTAATACTGAATTTCCTTCCTTTCTTTCTCTCTCACGGATACATGACTAGAAATGTTTCACGAGTGGTGGTCTAAGACTAAAAGTACAGTTGAATATCCGTGTACCATCATCGTTCCAGTAAATGCACACCCAAATGTTGTAATTAGACGATTCTAACAGTAGTATGAGTTTCTTTTTTTTAAGTAGATGATGATGAACTTTTCCGTGTTTCCAAAAACAAATGTGCCAGAACGATGCGACTATTGGATGAAGAGCTATTAGAGTTATCTTAGGAGATCCATTTCCACGGTTCAGTTTCCGGACTGGTGATCGGTGTAGGGAACTACAAAAACGAGGTAAATGTGCAACAAGAAAAAAGATGATTGCGTTTGGTAGGTAACAGACCCGTCTCCCGTCTATAAAGGTACTTCCCCCATGAACCGTAAAAAATAAATCAATGGAACTGAAAAAAGAATGTCTGTTAGATGGCACTGTTCTGCACTACATGAGGCGCGTAAGTGACTAGTAAAAGCGTTGCAATTGCAGGGAAATCTGTGAGTTACTTGTACAATGTGTTATTCACTGAGCAGTTTGGGTGAGGAGGAGCCACTTTTGCGCGCTGCTTACTGTGTTTAGGTAAACCAAGAAAACGAAAAGAAATACTGTAATTGTACAACACTCTGCTGTTAGCGCCATCATGAGTGTTTGAGTGTGTATGTGTGTGTTTGTTAATAGCGTGTGATGAATTGAAGTAGTGACAAATCGTGTGCAGTGTTATCATTGTTACAACGCCTTGGCTGCAGCCGGTGTATTTACAATCATCCGACGACGACGACGATGATTTGGACCAGTGGAATCCAGTGCACCTACCTCGGCCTTAAGCTCGGCGACCTTGTCCTGCAGATCGCGGACCCGATCCGACTCGTCCAGGTTCGACCGCAGTTCGCCTTCGGCTAGCATCTCGGAGTTCTGTGGACAGTTTGAAGGGAGGAAATTGTTAGTATAATGAAGCACTAATTAACGTTTAAGACTTGACTCGATAATTATTTCTTGTACTATTTGATGATGGTTTACACGTTTGAATTTCAACCGACACAGATGTCTGTTTTCAGCTTTATTTATTGGTTTGTGATTGAAGGGAGCTTTTAGGACCACCCTACTCCGAATTAAATTTCACCAACACAGACATCAGAATCACAGTCATGATGCAAGATTCTATTCCGATGCAACAAACCCTTTTCTTACCTTGGTCTCCAATCGGGAAATCTCCTGCTTCAGCTCGGCCACGGTTTGGCTCTGCTCGGTGAACTTGATTTTCACATTCATCAGCTCGTCCTTCATGCGCGATTCCAGATCCGAATACCGGTGTTGCTGTTCGCGGGCCTTGTTCGACAGTTCTCGTTCCCGGGCCAGCGCATCCTCCAGTTCTTCCTTCACCTTCTTCGATTCTTCGTCCTGCCGGCGCAGCTGATTGGTAGAAACCTGAACCTGCGTTTCCAGCTCCATCACCTTCAGCCGAAGTTCTTTCAGCTCGGTTAGCGTTTCCATTTCACGGATCCGAGTCGTCATCAGATCCTCCTCCAGCTTTTGCATGTCTTGCGTGCGCGATGACTCCCAAAACAGTAGCTTCTTAGCGCCGGACTCGCTGCTCTGGGCAGCTTCGTTTCGCTGCTCCGACAGCTGCCGCTGCCACTGGGTACTCAGCTCCTGGACCCGCTGTTTGAGATCCTTCAGCGATAGACTAGCTTCCGCCTCCCGCAGCTTACTGGCTATCAGTTCGTCTTGCAGATGTGCCACCGAGTTGTCGATGCTCGTTTCCCGGAGGCGCTTCTTGTCCTAGAAAAAAGAACCATAATTTTAACTTCGATTCAATCGCAAAGCGAACCACCACTTACTTCTTCCAATTCCTGGATCTTAGTCTTAAGGTTTCGTATCACATCTTCGCTTTCGGCTAGACTCTGGCGCACTTTGACGAGTTCCTCCAGCAGGCAGGAAACCATTTCGTCCCGCTGCTTGAGGGCTTCCTCCTTCATGATCAGCTCGTCGAACGAATTCTGGCGGGAGTTGTTCTGCGGGCGAAAGGGGAGACAAATGGGCAGGCATGCATTATGAACGTATGAGGTGGATGATCGGGGGGAGGGTTTCAAGGTTCGAGAAAGAGAACATGCTTGGATTGGCGGTAGAGTTATGAAGGAGGATACAAGCAAAAATAGCATCAAACTTAAGGAAAACAATTAATAGGTCGCTAGTGAAAGGCTCTTTTTACTAGCGAGATTAACAAATGAACACAAGCAATAGAAGACTAATGATTCGGCTTCACTAAAAAAAAAAACAGCGATGGTAAAGAAACAGTTATTTTCATTCAATCAAAGTTTTATACTTGAAGTCTACGATATCAGAATTGGAAATAAATGCTATACTAATATCAACATGAAGCCTTAGTGTGATAATTTATTAGCTTGAGAATGTTCTGAAGAGGATAGATTGAAAGTTGATAGTATTAATGCGAAAATACTAATCAAATTCGTGCTGCTTTGTCTAACTCACGTGATAGGTGCGGTGTTTTGAAGTATTTCCCGATGGATTTAAGGAACCTCAAGCTAGACAAAGGAGTGCGAATTTGATTATTATTGCCGCATTAATGGCCCTTCGCTCAACATCAAATTCTTACTCTAATGGAACTGTCAACCTACCCTCTTCAAAACTTTCTCAAGCTAATAAATTATCGCACTAAAGCTTCATGTTGATATTAGTAAAACATTTCCACCCAACTCTCTAACAATTATTATTTCCGGGCTGCCAACAGGTTTCCAGAATTATAATCATAAAGAAAACCTCTGGAGACGGTTGCGACGTAAATCCTGAAGAATTGTGAAGAAAAGTGTAACCTCTTGGTTGTCAAAGAAATTTTCGGATTGCTTAACAAACTTAAAAGTTCTTGTTATTTAAATATTCTTTATTAAATTACACAGGCATTTCCTGGAAATATACCTTACGAACAAACATATTCTAATAATTAATAGATATTAAACAAGAGTGTAACACCCTCACTTTTTAGACATTCTCTTCAAACTGGTAGTTGGCCGTATCACCTTCTTCCGCTCTTCCCGGTGCTTCTTCAACTCCGCCTGCCGTTTCTTATCGTATCCGCTGTTCTTCCTCTCGGTGCTGAACGTCATCTGGCGATTTCCCAGCCCTCCAATCGTCTTCACCTCCATCGGTTTGCCGGCAGCTAACCGTTTACCCAGTCCGGCCTTGCTTATCTTCCGGCCCGTGTTGCTGATGTTGAAATCCGTCTTCTCATGCACCGCTATCGACGGACCTCCATCATCATCGTCATCATCCTGCTCCTCTTTCCGATCCACTTCCATCTGTCGCTCTCGCTTCTGCTCCCAAGTGATCTTCTTAAACTCCTTCTTAACCTGCTTCGTCCAACCCTGATCGTCGTCGGAGCTTTCGTCCTTTTCGCTAAACAAATCCTCATCCGTACTGCCACCTTCCTCGCCGTCTTCCCGTCTTTCGGCGGCTGCTGCCTCGAACTCCTCTCTAGCCTTCAACTTTTGCGACCGTGACTTATCCAAACGGGTCAGCACCGGATTCAGCAACCGATACTCGAAGGCCGTTTTGTCTACCTCGAAGTCAGGATCCACAAACATGTTCTTAAATCGATCATCCGACAGCAAAGTGCTAGCCGCCGTCTTAAGTCTGCTGCTTCCCACCTCCTGCTCGGTGAGCAACTTCTCAGCCAGTTCGGCATTAACCTTCGGCAGTTTAGTCTTGAGCTGCAACCGGGCAGGGCGCGATTCTTCGATCTGCTGAGCAATCTTCTCCTTACGGTATCGCTGGAAGGCAAACGGATCCGCAATGGCCTTGGCCTTGTTGTACAGCCGTATGTCGATGAAATAGCCATGCATATACGCTCGCAACATACTGGTTCCCTCCAGATGATCCAACCCCAGTTCGGCCAGTTCCGTTTTGGTGATGAATTTGTAATCGTCGTAGATGTTCTGTACGTTTTCAGATTCGATTTCCTCGGTGAGATTATCAAGGAACGAACACCAGCGTGGGGCAGGTCCAAGGCTGGGAATGTAGTAGGTCATCATTTTCGGCTCCTCTTGGGCAAAAAACAGAAGGCCACTCTTGGGCGAGCTTGTGAAATCGTTGAAATTACTATTGGACTCGATGTAAGCTATCTGCTTGCCAGTGGTCTCATCCCAGATTTTCAACATAGCACTGTCTAGTGAATAAACTGCGTTATTTTCCCTGTTGAAATCGATCTTCTTAACAGCAAGTTGATTGAGATGATCCTTGACTATCAAAGGATCCTTTGCTCTTATATCGTACAGCAAAACGTGCCCGGATTCGGTTCCCACTGCCATCTGCAAACCGTTCTTGAATTTCAGGGCCGAAACCGAAGGGAACTTCTCGTTGTTCTGTACACCGGCGGCTACGTCCAGTACTCCGCAACGACTTTTATCTCTCGGATCCCAAGCCTCCACCGTTCCTTCCTGAGTTCCTACGCAAAGCAAATGGTGCTCCGGATTTACCTCACACGCATTGATACTGCTGGCAGAAGTGCTATAAGGTTGCAGAAACTGACCCCTCTCGGTATTCAGGCGATAAATCTCCGACGACGCCCCCACCAGGAACAAATCACACGACGGCTTGTGGTAATCCAAATCCCTTCCAAACCTCGGAATGCGCAACCGGTAGTGCCTACCGTGTGCAGCATGAAACTCCACAAATCGATCCGCTTGCAAAAACACAACCTTGCTGTAGTCCTCGCTCAGAATCTTGAATTTCACCACCTCCGAATCGAAGCATCGTTCAAACTTCAGCGACAGATTGTTCACGTCGTAGCAGTTGATCCGTGGTTTGTACGTTCCCGTCGCCAGAATGTACTGCCCGTCTGGTGACAAATTGATGCTGGTGGCCACACTGGGCATCTCAAAGTCCTGAATCAGTTCGATTCGTCTGCTGATGTCGACATTTTTGCGCTGCGCTTCGCGGCGCTTTTTGTCCGAAATCCAATCGGGGAGTGCCTTTCCCGCACTCAAGTTGTAGATTTTCACATCACCCACGTCGGTTACTAACATTTTCGAGGATTTTCAGACGACTTTTACATGGAAAAAATGGAATAACTTTTCCGAATGCTTGAATTCGATTCCGCACTAAACACGCGAAAGGCGAGATGGACCGAACCCGGTCTTAGCCAAGTCTTTGACACAAGCAAAGGAAAAAAAAAAAAAAAAAACACGCGATTCGCGAACGAAACAATAATAATGAAGGGAAACGTCATTTGACGGACGGTGGTGCGCACGCCTTTTGCTGTCAGTTTGATAATGCGCACGAATGCTGTCAGCAGCAGGGTTGCCGTCGATGCAAATGAAACGCGGTTTTGGTTCGCTCAATTAAATAGTTTAAATAACTATTATCGGTAAAGTTGAAGACCGGTTGATAACGCCAGACGCGAGAATCGATTTTACTCTTGTTTTGTACGTTAAACATAGTGCACTGTATTGTGCACTATGTCCGACGTTATGATTAACATACAGATCGAGAGTAAAATCGAATGTCGCGTGTGAGATTTTCCGGTGTCCAACTTGACCACAGAGAACAGACGTTGAGGCTCGAACAAAATTTCTCTAAAGTGGCGCCGGTGGTGTAGTGGTAAGCGTTATTACCTGTCACCTCAGCAGACCTGGGTTCAATCCCAGTAACGTGAGTGGATCACCTTTTCGTGGTACGGTACGGGATGTAAGATCTACCACCGATTCTTAGTCCTGACTACTTCAAACTAAGGGAACAGGATTTTTCAGTAATCAAAGGAACACATCTTAGTCCTTGTTACTTTTTTGTTCCCTTGTTGATAGTGAGTAGACACGGTGAGGTATACGAATGCAATCTTAAAATGCTTTTATTTTGCAAATGGAACATTTTATATAAATCTGGTTGATGCTATGTTAGTAGAAAACTTAAGGACTACACAGCAAAAAAAGTTGTTGAATATTACATCGAAACTGATGCAACCAGGTCAATCCATCGATTGTGTAATATCACATTGTACGATGTACATCGATTTTGCGAACAAAATTACATCCATTGATGTAATATTGTATCTGCTTTTTGCTATTACATCATTATTTCATACATCAGCTTGAATTACGTTGATCGATATTACATTTTTTTTTTGCTGTGTACTCAATAGACATATAATACAGAAAAATTAATTTCTTTTTTAGAATTTAAGGTGTACGCACTGGAAAATTTTGAAACCATCATCACCTTTATAGTTCTTCTATTCTCCTCGAGTGCCAACTTTGATTTGCCAATTCGTTGTTCCTTAGTTTGAAGTGATTAAGACTAGGGTTCTGATGAATGGTCATTATCGGTGTCATTCCTTAATTTCGTTGCTAAGGAATCCAATTTTGACTGACAAAGGGGCGCGCCTTTGGAGGGTGTTTCAACACTCCGTAGGGTATAAATCAGGCTTGATGTAGCCTCGCTCGCGAGTTTAAAATGAGCCGAGCGTAGTATTTTTCTGAGGAGTAAAATACCTACTGCCAAATCATTTCACTGAGCTTCAGAGATTGTGAGCGAAGGGGATAAAATGAGAGTGAGGTTTGCTGCCATTCATGTTCAAGTTTTCTATCACACGTTCACACGCTCTTACTCTCACTCTGTTAGACCTTCTTGCGTCGAACAAAAAAGTCATCCGGAGTCTCGAAAAGCGTACCTCACGTCAAATCATCCTCTCACTAAAGTTCACTCTCCCTCTCTTTCGAGCAGTTTTCGTTTACTTCCCGCTAATCTTGCAGGACAAGAGTGTTTTCAAACCTCCAGTGAGTTTGGGGAGTTTCAGCAAGCCTGGTTGAAAATAGCGGGACCTTTCAATTAACCACTTCATTCGAGCAGTTAAAATAACGTTTACTACCACTCGAACTTTGAAATAAAACATTATTTTGAGATTTTTTCTTCTAGAACCACGAGAAAAGTAACCAACATTTGAGCGTTTCATAAAAAATAGAAATTGGTTGGTCCAGTTTTTTTTTAAATCGCTGGTAGAAAGTCACGCCAAAACTGCTTGACAAAGCGGTCAATTAACCACTTTATTCGAGCACTTAAAATGACGTTTACTACCACTCGAACTTTGAAATAAAACATTATTTTGAGATTTTTTCTTCTAGAACCTATTTGGTTCAGTTTTATGAAATCGCTGGTAGAAAGTCACGCCAAAACTGCTTGACAAAGTGGTCAATTAGAGTCGGATTCTTGGGATAAATGCAAGAATGACAACTGTAAAACAATCGAATACTTCATCATTTCTCAATAGTGATAGAGTAATACCAATGTTACCGCTAGGCAATTAATTTAAAACCAAAACCATAAGATACCCACATAGTTCCATCTCGTTTGCATAGTCCTAGCTGACGTTGATACCAAGGCCAAGAATATGAAATGAAAAGTAGGGCAAAAGGAGCGAGAGCTCGTTTTACATAATCTAACTGCAGTATTTACTTAGGAACGTTTCTGCGTTCAAGTAGGATAAACACGCCCACGCATGGCATGCTTGCGCATCTAGGTTACGTTTAGCTTTCCCTCTCTGTTTATCCTTAACGAAGGATATAATTATAATGTTTAAACGTTACAAATGTATCATTCTTATTTGTAGAGCCATATCAGATCTGAGTTACGAAAATAAATAAACTTACAAGATATCTGAGAAATCCCAGATCTGAGAGGGCATAGTATATAAGGCCTAAACAACACAAATTTACCCTTTCATAGGCGATCGGAATCCTAGCTAATTAGAATAGGCAAATTAGGTTAAAGTTCGATATTGAAAGGGATATGTTAAACCCTGGACAAATCATGTAAAAGTTTTACATAATTATAAGTTGCTAATGCAACACGTAACCGTAAGATCACTTTGTACAAATTTGTTGAATAAAATTAAGTTTCGTAGGTTACTCCAGATTCTTCTCTTTTTGAATCCGAAAGAACTTTCGGCCTAGAAGTGAAAACTTCTCTCCTTAACCGGAGAAAAAAGTAGCTCCTAGAAGAACTCTTGACTTGGAAGTGAAAACTTCTCTCCTTAACCGGAGAAAAAAGTAGCTCCTAGAATCGAGAAACAGTGTCTGACCTAGTAAGCGAAAGACTCTCCCTAACCGGAGAAGAAAGTAGCTTTTGGCGGCGACAACCAACAATCAATACGAAACTCTCGATTTTAAATTGGCTCACTGCTTGACTACACTGAAATCTATACTATAGAAATCTCCTTATACCTTTTGGCAAATTTCCATTGCTGATTATTCATAAATTGTATAAGTCAACTAATAAGCAGACGCCTTGCTAAAAGTTAATGAAGATCATGTGTCAAATGAAATGTATAAGCGGTCACACATACCTTTTATGCATTCTTATATGACCTATGTGGTTTGTCTTATGGAATGTATAAGGCTGATGTTTTGGCAAAAATGTATAAGTGAAACACATGAATAAAATAATTGATTTTCGTTTCGTGTAGCTGCTTGCGGGGAGCTTTTCGTTGTGTACTGGAAAACACCACCACTCATCACGCGGTGATTGAATAAACGCCACTTTGTGGGACCGGATAGAATTCAACTTTGAAATCTATGTTAAGGAAATCGCTTTTCGCAGGTAATCGGTGATAATTTTAATAATCATAGTTGCACATTCGTTCTATTTTTAATAGTGACATTTCGAAAAATTATAAAATCTTAAAATTAACAGATGAGTAGAAGTATTTCTGATCGATTGGAGATAAAATTATTGAAATTGGTCTAGGGGCCGCTGAGTTATTAACGTTCAAAATCTTTCACAATTTCGTTACATGTTCCATTTTCGGTTTTCACAAAGTGTACCCCCATATAGAAATCACAGACGTAGTCCTACGTCAAAAATCCCAGTCGGCGCCGCTGGGATGTTCTGAGGCATAACATATCTGATCACGCTTTACTTCGGAAGGGAAGTAAAGCCGTTGGTTCTCGGTTCATGAGTTGATGTGTCGATAGGTAGGGTCCAGGTGTGGGATCTGCCTTCCTGGCGTCGGTAGCACTGGTACTCAGTACGGAAAACAAGATCGACGGAAAACAAATAAAAAAAATCTATCTAAAAACTAGTGTAAAGATTCCTATTTGACTTAAGCGCCACTAACGGCGACTTCCCTACTTAAAAACCCTCTTTGGCAACCTGATGGCGCTGTCGTTTATTTGAATACCTGTATAAATAAAGAGATCAAAAGGTGGTTTACACTGGATAACCATCCATAGATCCCATGACCTTCCTACTTCTTCGTGCCAATCCTTTGTAAGCCGTTTTCATCCGAATCTAGTGCAGCCTGTTATCGGTCGACGTTGTCCATAGCATTTGCCGATTCAAAATATGAGCAATTTGCTGAAGTATATTTTTCGTTAAATTGACCGCAGTTTGAATCTTCTAGAGGTATGAAAGTTACGCCTACTGCTTTGTAATAGTATTCCCTGACTTTTGCCTGAATGTCCAAGAATTAGGGCAGAACTTTAAAATTGTATGTTTCGATCAAACCAAATTTAGCTCCCATCCATCTACATATTCATGTTTATTTGAGATGCTGAAATTTGTAATGTGTTGAAATGAAGAACCTCTGCTTTTCCAAGCACATAAAGTTTCATAAATCACGTCTTGCCGGGTGATAAGGATACATTTTTCATGTTAGGCCATCTTCGGATATGGCATTTTTTACCTTGTTCGCCTTTATATAAAGCAAAGTTCTTAGATTCCGCTTATCAGTGTGATTTATGCTGGTAATGATTTCAATAGAATCAATAGATTAAACAAGAATATAATAAAATAATTCTAATTCTCCTCTTCCTTTGCCACATCAAGCTGAACATTGCATTAGGTCCTAAGTAAAATTGACAGATTGTCTTCGTCGACTTTCTATTTGTATTTCACGGCCATGATAAGACATTCCCAGATATTTTCAGCGCACAGATCGTTAAAAGAAGCTTTTATCTAGCACGTAATGCGACAAACACAACAAGAAACGGCTATGTGCTCAAGTTATTAACGAAAGAGAAAGTCGACGATGAGAATCGATCAATGTTACTTAGGACCTAATGCAATGTTCAGCTTGACATAATGTTGATTTACACTTTAGTTTGTATTTATTGATGGATATAAGGCCAGACTACTTTGATCATTTTTGAGTAATTATGAGTTACTCAAATTTATTTGAGCAAAAATATTAACTTTGAGTACAGCTGGCTTGCCCCTAGGGAAATCCTATGTATGAGTGCTCATTGCAAGACAGCTTATATAGCGGCGTCGGTGGTGTAGTGGTTAGCGTGATTACCTCTCACCCCAGCAGGCCTGGAATCCCAGTCGGAGCCGCCGGGATGTTCCGAGGCATAACATCACTGAACACGCCTTCTTTCGGGAGTGAAGTAAAGTAGTTGGTCTCCGATTCATGAGTTGATGGGTCGATAAGGGGTAGGGTCCAGGTGTGGCAGCTGACTCCCTGGCGTCGGTAGCTCAGCACGGAAAACAAGATCGACGGCAAACAAATTAAGGGAAAAAGACAGCTTATATTACATGATATAAGCCATAGTCTGTACGGGGTATAACAAGGTCCTAAGATATTTGAATAGTTTTTACACCAAAACATAAAGAAGTTATAACGTGTAATAATCCTGCCTCTGCTACGATGTCTTGCCGGTTTCCAATCCAGCGTTTGCTTGCAGATTTCGATTTCGTCCCATCCACTAAAGTATACGAATTTCTATTAATATCGGCTTCTGATGATATCGACGATGGAGCTCAGCATGCCAGATTCAGTTGAGAAGCCACCAGACACAAATTATGTACCGCACAAACATCGGGTGATGAAGGCTTTTGAGTGATCTCTGCTGATTCACACCAAGTCTCTCTGACGTATAACAAACACCGTTTCCTGGATCCATAGACATTCTCCTTATGTTTAAAATCCTCTAAAAAGGTGTGTTGGGTAAATTCCCACCATTTTGACAATTTCACAAAAACACGTTCTACCTAAGCTCACATTCTTAGCCTTCAGTTATCATTCAAACAATATTTAGGTTTGATCCACCATAAGCCAGGAAAACCGAACAGAGAAATATGAATCATAATTTACATGAGGCTACGTAACGTAAAATTTTAAGAAACTCAACATTTTGAAAAGATTTCGGCATGCAAAAAAGTGATTCAACCGAAAATAAATCAAGCATGAAACTACTACATGGCGCTGTAAATAAACGATCGGCTGGGGGAATGTGTGAGTGTGAGCGAGAGAGGGAATTTTGCAACTTACAGATTCTAGCGAATTATCCGCATTCTGTTGGCCGGCAAGATACAGAAGACAGTAAAAGTGTTAATGATATAATATAATAATAATATAGAGATTACGTGTCACTTATATAGGCAAGCAGCGCATTGCAACAGCAGATGGAAATAATTACTGCCATTTATCGATCTTATATGTAGGGTAGGTAGGTTAGGTACGTACATTCTCCTGAAGCCGCAGGCTCAGCGCACGCACTTCCTCGTTGGCATTTTCGAGCTGGTGTGACACCTCCAGGTGTACCCGCCGCAGCGCCAGCAGTTCCGACTGGATGGCGTAGCTGGTTTCTTCCTCTTCGGCTCGGGACACCTGACCGCGCACTAGCCGGTCGGCCAGTTCGGCACTTTCCGCCTCCAGCAGTTCGTTGCGCTTTTTTAGCAATCGATTTTCGCTCCGTAACCGCTGTTTTGAGTCGGGTTGGAAAGTGTTAGTAACTGTGTCTTTGTGAAAATTGAAAACCACTTACCCTCAGTTCGACCATCTCTTCCTGTTCCTTTTTCCGCAGATCGGCATACTCCTTTTCCATTTTCTTCATCTTTTTAGTGTTGATTTTCACCTGGAATGCTAGATTGAACAACCCGTCGCTGTCCTGTTCGACCTTTTGGGGAAGCTCTTTTTGGAAGTACTGTTGAAGGAAGTTACTGTGTTTTGAAATCTGTCTCGTTTCGAGGTTGGTTCGGTTCTTCTAACTCACCTTCAGCATTGCTTCCATATCCAACGACAGCAGGGTATCTTTGCCGATCAGCAGCAGTGCGATGGCGACCTTGAAGATGAATTCCATGCCTTCCGACAGGAACACGTCCATTATCCGGCAGCTAAGCGTGAGGTTCAAAGCGGTGGTGTACAGTGTGAGGAACCAACTGGAAGCGTACATTGACGTTTGGAAACTCTGTGGAGGAATTCGGGCAATTCTGGTTAAAGGGTAAAATCTAAACATAAACGTGGTAGCTTTACCTGTGATTGAAAGTGGAGGTTCAACTCCGGAATTTGCTCTTGAACGATGCTTTCCAGCTGGTACATGCAGAGACCCAGCTCTGCCATCGATGGTTTGAACATGTCCCGCATGCGGTATTGTTGCATGATCTGCACCAGCACCGAGAAGGCATCCTCCTCGGGCATCTGGCGGGAGAATATAGGAAATTAGTGAATTTTCCGATTGTGGTAAGGAAAGCAAACTCACCTGCATCAGCAGCAACCCCACAATGAATCCGGAACCCTGGCAGTAGCCGACCTCCCGGTCATGCAGCGAGTACGCCTTCATCACATTGAACAGCGCTTCCTGTCCGAAGCCGTCCTTTTCCTTGAAGAAATCATGCTCCGGATACGTCCGGGCAATGTCTCTCCGGATGACCTTCTCGCAGGCACTGGTCGCCTTGATATACTCGGCGTACTGTTTCTTGTCGGTTTCGGTGGCACCGCAGAGCAGCTGCCACACGATGGCCCGAAAGTGGTGGGGAATGCCCTTCCGGACCAGTTCCTTCACCGTGGGCTGTTTGCGCTTCTGACCGGCTTCCCAGTCGGCTACGATGCCGGCCCATGTCGACCAGATGTCCTCCTCGCCCACCGAGGACGCACCGGAGTTGAGCGAAATCTGACTGGTGTCGGAGCTCTTCCGACTATGCGCGGAACTTTGCAGAGAGTTGAGACTCTTCGAGTCACTCTCGATCAGCTTGTTGGCGGCCTCCAGTTTTGCTAGCAGAGAGAGTTCAGAACTTGGTAGAGATTCGGTCATATCCGGCTGGGGACTTGGGTGGTGGTTGTGGTTAGTGCGCAGATTATTGCTGTCCGATTCCGACACCGTCAATGTCATTACTACTAGCTACTACTAGAGAGTGGTCACACACAGAGGTCAGAGGTCGGGAGGCCAGGCGAAAGGCAGGCGGACGCGATCACACCGATTCAGTGTTGCATTAAACTAGGAATGGGATGGGACGTTCCGTTCCCCGTTTGGTGGATGAAGGGATGAGATTTTGCGGTTTTTGCCGATAGGGATTCCAGGGGGGTGGTAATTCACACGCACACGATTTTTAAGGATTTTTGACTTGTGGGTGAGGAATGTACTAACACAGACACGTACTTAGAAGAAGGCTCCCTTTGAGTAGGAGACCACTTCGGTAAAAAAAATTTGCTTGCACGATAAACTTACAAAACTATAAATAGCGATTGCAACCAAACTGCCGCAGCAGCAGTATCATCCATAAATGATACCAACATGAAAGACTTGGACAACAATTACATAAATAATAAATAGAACATCTTTTTGTTTATCTCTGTAGCTTAAGAGTACTGAACCAAAAAAACAAAACAATATGTATATGAAAAATAATACTTTAAGGCTAGCCCAAAAAAACGCAGCTAAGCACCTGGTGGCAGTTACGAACTAATAAGCAGTAGTACGGGATGCGTGGTTGTATGTAAACAAGTAGGAAGTAAATGAGATGTACACAATAAATAATACCAGAGTTTAATACGGAAAACAGACGCGGGACCCACTGCTATCGAGAGTGGTGGGTTCAAGTGTGAGTGTGCGATAAGTAGTAGGTAGAGTAGTGGCAGGCGACCGTCTCTGAACACTATAAGTAGCCTTTTTCCGCCGCAGTTCTTTTTTTGTTTTTCTCAACTCCCAAGCGTTTAAGTATACATATATGTGTATGTGTGTGTGTATGTGCGCGTTTGTGGATGCTGCGCGACTACCTCAAACAATGCTGTTTGCCAGTGATGGGGGCGGGGGTGGTGCGGTTTGCAAATACTTTCAGTTTCTAGCTCTATAGCAGAAATCAGCTTTCTTTTTGCGGCGAGAGATTCCGAGCTCTTTCTTCTTTTCGGTGGCTATTGTTGTGCTCGCTTTTCCAGCTCGGCTTTATCTTAATCGGGATTTAAGCGATGCGATGAGATTTTTGTGCTCCTCCGAGAGATGCCGAATGTGGGAGGTTTGGTGGGAGTTGGAATGACGGATGATGATGATGATGATGATGCTGGTGGTGGGTGGTGGTGGCGGCGGTAGCAGTGCTGAGGTTTTTCGCTTTTTCCTTCGTATTTTAGCGAGGCGTGGCGATAACAATGCTGACGACGATAACGGTGGTGGTGGTGGTTTGTGATGAGTCCTTATACGGTGTGCTGGTTTGCTGTTCGCGATGCTGATGCCGTTGCACAAGTGGGCAGTTTGCAGTCCTTTCAGTGTGATGTTTGTGTTTCCTGGATAGATGAAAGAAGAAGAGAGAAAATTGTGTTAGATAACTGTTTGCTCTGATGATTGTTTCGCTTTGTGCAAGGTGTTCACTTTTGAAGTGCGAGTGTTTTCGCAATTGTATTTACAGACGTTGTACATCTACAATTCGAGTGTTATGCCTTTTTTGGACGAACGGCTGCACAAATAACAACCAAATTTGGAAATGGGAGCTGTTGCAGTTGTATTTCTTCCCATTGCATCTGTCGGCTCGAGTGATACTCAAGACTCACAGGGAGCATCCATTAAGTACGTCACGCTCTAAGTGTGGAGGGCGGATTTACAAATTTGTGACAAGCAATGCATTAGGTATACTTCCCATAAACGTATGTTAGTCCCACTAACAAAAACATTCAGCTGAGAAAAACGCAGTTATATCTAGTCTAGTCTAGTCTAGTCTACACATACACAGCCAGTACTTGAAATGAGAAAAACGCAGTTATATCTACCGCACATTTTCTTTTTTATTGAGTTAATTTTAAAGCGAAATTTAGAAATATCTGGATCAACAATAGAAAAGGGCCTATCAGCAGTTGTAAACAAACCGTTCCAAAGCCCATTCCTCACAAATCGAAAACCGCCCACACAAACCAACACCATCATCGTATAGGTAGAAGTTTCCCCTATCCGATGATGGTGTTGGTTTGGTAGTCTTCGCTTTGTGAGTAAAGGGCTTTGGAACGTTTTGTTTACAAATTCCTTTTCTATTATTGATCCAGATATGCATCCCATTAGTTAAAACATGCATTAGTAAAAATATTTACATGCAATTCGTTCATTATTAAGCCCGCAAGCTCAATTGGAACGAGACTGACATGCGCTTATTTGCTCAAGAACGAGTCAAAATAAACGCACACCAGTATCGCAGCTTGCTATGATACATTGGAGTGATTCCAGACGAATTATTTGCTAATAGGAGAATTTACGTATTCTCGGCAACCTAAGCAGCGACCTTCTTTCTATAGCCTTTTTCTCTAAGGAACGCACACATATGCAGTATTGGTTTGTTTACAATCTTTTGCTGCCAGCTGCTCTAACAATTTCAGTCGAAAGAATTGTCAAAAACTGTTTTGAAACGCTTTTACGAAGCTCCAATCTTCTCTACACGCAGAGAAATGATTTTTAAATTCAAATGGATATATTTTTGGCTCAGGGCCTAATATATTTTTGGTATTGATTCAAATATATTATTCGGTTAATTCAAAGAAAAATATGTTTGAATCAACAAACCGGTTGTAGAGTCAATAATCTGTTTGTTGTTTCTAAAAACCATTTTGTTGATTCAAAAATATGTTTTGTTGAAATAGTGATACAATATTTTTGAATCAATAACAAAATACATTAGGCCCTGAAACAAAAATCAATTTTTCTACGTGTAGTGAGAGCGAGTATTGTCGGCAACCTGTTTTTCTTCGGCAACCGTTCCATTTGAACTGCATGTAAATCTGCTGTTCTATTATCGGCAACTCGAAATCAGCTACAATTTGTAGTGCGTGTGTTTCATTTCAAGAAAACCTTGCTAGATTGCTTTTTCTCAGTGGTAAAAATATAGTCAAATTGAAGCTGAAAGCATAAAGAATCGTTTGCATGCATTCAACGAAGTGTTTTCGTAAGAAAATCCAGTGAAAATAGTGTTTCTATTTGGGTTGCCGAAGCCGTCATTTCCCCTACATGAATTTTCGTATCTTTGGCTGAAAATTTGAAAATTTCAGAGGATACAAACATTTTATATATTTGCTACATTTGACTTGAATGCCCTCAATGTGATCTTTAAAAGTTAATTTTTTGTCAAGTACTAACCCAAGATATTTCACTCGGTTTGACCAGGAAATTGGAACTCCGTTCATAGTGACTATGTGACTACTACTAGGTTTCAAAACGGAAGCTCTAGGCTTATGTGGAAATATGATAAGTTGAGTTTTGGAAGCGTTGGGAGAAATCTTCAATTTTTGTAAATAAGAAGAGAAAATATCTAAACTTTTCTGTAGTCGTAACGTTCTAAACTTTTCTGTAGTTGTAACATTCCGTTGTGTTCCTTAAAGCAAACGGCTTAAGCGCCACCTTTCCAAAAGAAGGACCGTTAACTCCGTTCAAATACGAATTCTAATTGATATCACTGAGGCTTACCTGATTTACTGTTAGCCGTTATCAAATTCCAATTTGTTTCAAAAATTTCAATTACTTACAAACTCTATAAATTCAAATACTCGTGTGAACTGTATTACGTACTCCACCAGAAAGAACGAGTTATCGCGAGGCAAAATGGTTCGATCTTAAAAACTACGACGCAATAACTACCCAATGGTCTGCAGTGGGTTTTGTAAAGGTTTTTCATGCCAGCAGTATACGAAACTGACTATTTTTAACTATTTATTTTTTTGGAGGTCAGTCGAAAACTACGCAGTATTGATTTGATTTGTAACAACCCTGAGGCAAATCCGAAGTGAAAATGTTATACAATAGAGGCCGCAGAATGCTACCCTGAGGAACTCTGAGATCTAACAGATAGTCGTTCAGATTTGGAATTTTGATAATTTACCTGACAGTCAAATAATTTTGAACTAATTTCATAATGTAAAGTGGAAAATTAAACTTTTTCAATTTAGTAACCAAACCTTCATACCAAACACTGTCGAATGCTTTTTCTACGTCTAGAAGAGCAACACCAGTTGAGCAGCCTTCAGATTTGTTTGAACGAATTAAATTGATAACTCTTAAGAGTTGATGGGTAGTTGAATGCCCATGGCGAAGTCCAAGCTGCTCATCTGCAAAAATTGAGTTCGAATGGATGTGAAGCATCATTCTATTTAAAATAGTCTTTTCAAAAAGTTTACTTATTGAAGAAAGCCAACTAATTGGACGGTGGCCAGAAGCTTCAACTGGATTTTTTATCCGGCTTCAAAATTGGAACAACTTTTGCATTTTTTTCATTTATCAGGAAAGTATGCCAAATGGAAACATCTGTAAAATAATTTTACCAAGAACGACAAGGTACCCTCTAGGAGTTTTTTGATGAGGTTATAGAAATTCCCATCATCACCTGGAGCTTTCATATTTAAAAAAAATAGTTATAGGAATCATCAAAAATATTTTCCTGAGAGAAAATATTCTGATAATCCCGAGCAACTTGATTCTCAATAGGAATTGCTTAGCAAATTTCCGAATGTGTGATCAAAATGTTACCACCTTCTTTAAGTGCTGGAATAGGCTTTTGAGGTTTTTCAAATTTTTGGTGAGTTTCCAAAAGAGTTTGGAACTCGGGTCTGATTTAGAGACATTACTTTCAAAAGTTTTGATCCTCAGGCCAGAGAATCGCTTTTTAATTTGTTTTTGCAACTACCGCCAGATAACTTTCATGACAGGATCGCGTGTTCCTTGATATTGCCTTCTACGGACATTTTTCAGATGGACCAAGAGCTGAAGATTGTCGTCTATTATAATTGAATCGAATTTAACCTCACATTTTGGTACTGAGGCAGCTCTTGTTTCAACTATAGAAGTAGTCAGAGATTCAAGAGCATAATTAATTTCATCTTTGGTTTGCAAAGGAATGTTTGGATCAAAGCTATATTCCATAAATGTTCGATATTGCTCCCAATCAGCTCTATGGTAATTGAAAGTAGAGCTGTTGGGACTAGAAATTATTTCTTGGGATATTTCAAAAGTTACTGGAAGGTGATCAGAACCGAGGTCAGCATGGGTAACCAATTGGCTACAAACACTTTTGTCAGCCTTCATCCGAATGAATTCTTTAAAATTATTTTAGCTTATTTTCAGTTCTTCGAGCAGGAACATCTTCAGATTTATTTTAAAATGATTCATATTTTTCAGCCTTCGATCAGGCTGCATCAATTATTCTAATTATTTAAATTTATGTTCAGCTCCTCGATGATGGAACATTATTAGATTTATTATTTAACGATTCACTTTTTTCAGCTTTCATTCAGGTAAATCAAAGATTACATTGCATTTCATTGCATTAAAATCGGACGAAGTTCTGGAGTATTTGGCGGGTTCGCCTCCTTCGGGACCACATTAACGCCCTTCGCTTCGTACCAATCCATTACAGGCTTGGCGTAATGGCACGAAGCGAGATCCGGCCAGAACAGCGTGGAACCACGGTGAGAGCGGAGGAAGGGCAGCAAGCGCTTCTGCAAGCATTCCTCTCGATAAATCTGTACCGTCCGCACTCGCAGATCGCCTGCCACAACAGGTACTTCTTCGCGAATTTATCCATCTTTCTCATCCGGAACATTTCCAGAATCTCTATGGCCGGGGATTTGTTTGGTGTCCGCCTTGATGTATGTCTCGTCGTCCATGACGAGACAGCCTGGCTTGACCAGCCACTCACGGTACAGCTTCCGCGCACGCAATTTGGCCACCGTGTTTTGCTTGTCAGTCCGGTTTGGTGCCTTCCCGACCTTAAAAACACGTAGCCCAGCCCGCTTCATGGTCTGCTGGACGAAACACTTCGACGAATTGACCTTTTTGGCCACGTCTCGGGTGGAAAGGTTCGGGTTATTCTAAAAGTACTGCCTTATCTTCCGCGTCTTCTCTGGGTATTCCGTTTTCGGTTTTCGGCCGCTTCCAACGCGCCGCTCGATGGTCTTCGTCTCCTGGAACATCTTCACAACGCGGGACACGGTGGAATGGTGGATTCCAAGCCTTTTGCCGATCCATCTGTGTGACTGACCAGGATTATCGATCACCGCGCCCAAGATTTGCTCGCGTAGCTCTTCTTGTTTCGAATGCATCCTGAAAACTACTTAACAGATCGCGATAAAATTTTGCACACATATACATAACACTCTAAACTAGTGTTACCCAAAATTTCATTAATTTTTACCCAAAATTTCATTAAGTTACACCCAAAACAAAGTGTCGCATTTTTTCCGAGTCCAGTCTTTATCACATCACTTATCAAGATGAATCCTGATCAGACAAACCTAACCCTCTAAAACAATATCTC